CTCGTCATCCCCTGTGTTCGTCTAATAGTTTCCACCTGTGTCCAATCACCTGCACCTCCCTTGTGTATTTAAGCTGTGTGTCTCTTGTGTCACTTGTCGCGTCATTGTCTTTCGTTTTGGGATCGCCGTAGTCTCTTGCCTGTGTGCGTTTGCCCCGGGTTCCTGTGTTTTTTGACCCTTGTGACTATTAAAGTCTTTTGTTTCCCGCAAGTCTGCGTTTGAGTCCTGCCTTCCACCCTCAACCCTGACAGCAATTCATGCTAAATCCAAAGAGTTTTTGCATTGAATTCCACTCGGCCCACGTGCTGGCTAGTTTGACTCAAAATCTCTGCCGATTGCTTCTGCTGAGGCTTTTCCCACACAGATAGAAGGTTATTAACGGTAGCTGTATTCCTGGAATCCATCCCACTGTACAGACCAGTGCGGCTAATCCTCACAGAAGGAAGATAGAGCGGGAAAACAAGGGGAGAGAAAGGGGCTGGGGAAAGGTATCCCCATCCAGGGAAGTGAGCAAGAGACTGGAGCGGAGAAGAAAGAGGACTTCATGAAAAATTGAAACGTTGGAAGAAGAGTGCAGGAGTGATGGGGGGGGGGAAATATACTTTATTAAATCAGTTACTTTCTGCACCTACTTTAAAACCCAAGAAACAGTCAAACCAACGTGTCAGGAGTTAATACCGACGTCCCAAAGTGTTGTTGATGTTGTTTCTTTTCGTTGTTTTGTAATCACACCGTACCCTTTTATTTTTAAGTTACGCAAAAGGTACTGCCTTCAAGTTACTTTAACAGGCAATGTCCTTTTTATCTTCTCCTTTTTTCTAAACTAGTGAGGTTTGTGATGCTTTACCATCTTCCTATGTATTTTACTTAGGTTGCATATTTATTTTAATTAGTTTTGTATATTGTATTCAGGAGACAATAATTAACCACTACACTCTGCATGCTGGAGAAGTTATTGAAACATGAACAGGAACCACAGAACAACTGTACAGTTCTATGTGAGGGTTGAATGTTAAGGTGATGAAAGGAGATTACAGCAGGTCATTAGGCAGAGGTCAAAGCACAAGGGCGTTGCGTAACCGCATTCGGTGTGGTGGAGTGTGACCTGCATCCTGGTCCAATGCTGCTGTGAAGTCGTCTTCTACGTCTTTCTGCTTTGCAAGCACACGCACATGAATGTCTCCCTTACACGCTGGCCGCCGCAGTCACATCACGTCTCTGTAACCTTTGTTACACAACGTACTTTCACATCTACCCTCGTACAACCTCAGGCTGTGTGCAGCATTTGAAGACACATCTATTACGTTGTGAAATGTCATTGTCGTCTTATAACTCCGTCTCTGAAAGTAACAACTTCTAAGAATGAAGTAAAATGCAGAATTTGGTTCTTAAAAACAGTAGACATGAAGTAACACTACTAAAATACTAAGTGCTCAAAATGGATCTTGAATGCACGAGTGGAACCATAGAACCTATAAAACAGACGATAAAAAGATCCGGCGACCACATCTTGGTAGGGGAACGGTTATGGTCTCCTACCAACAGTCAGTTATTTCTGACCATTGCTATGAAGTAGTTCAATGCCAAGAGCCAACATTTGCCTGACCTGCTTTGAAATTGATTCATAAATAATAATAATAATCTAAATATTTTCGCGGCTCTCCATATATTCTATGAAAAAAGGTTACCTAACTCATTCCCTGATTTTTTATTCTCTGCACATTACGAGCTAGTGCTGCATATTTGCGGTAAATGCTTATACTGGATCTATTTCTGGACTCCAAACATCATCTCGCACCATGCCAGACACATAGCTTCAGTTGTTACATCCCGAGATGTTTATATTACACACATGGAAAATGAGACATTCATAATGTTATGCCAATACCATCACTGTATCTTTAGAATCTTGATATCTTGCTTGTGGAACCTCTTCAAAAGAAAATGTCAAGTGTAAATATACAAAGAAAAAAGAAAAAAATGTCATTTCACATTTTTATTGTTCATCATGATGATCATCATGTATCACCGATACAAAAAAACATCCCCTTTGTTCGGGTAAAATTACAATTCTGTATGTTCGGCCTGATCCATAGGAAGCAGAGACACTGAGCAGCAAAAACATTGAGCCAGTGCTTCATTTCAAAATCGGGCCGGCGCTGCTGTGCAAAGCCTCTAGCTGGGGACTTGTCTGCTCTGATAGATCCTCTGGACCAAACTCAGCAATACTGCGTGGCTCAATCATGCAAAAGAGGCAAAAAGATTGTTCATCCAGACCAAATACCTGAGATACTAAAAGGTATAGAGGTGTGCTGCCTCTCGACTAAAAAAGTGACGGCTAAACATTTGTGAGAAAAATGAAAGTGAGTGAACCAGGATTTGAAAGAGGGGAGAAACCACCATTGAGCGTCCCCGGCGTGTTCTGGAGGGGCTGCGTGGACCCTTCCGGTCACGAAGCTTGCGGACTCTTATCAGGCTGTGGAAAGGTCCAGTTCAGGTAACGTCACACATATAACACCACAACAAATGTGGGGTTGAAAAGGTTTTTGTGATATCCATCATAATGCAAGTTATGAGAGGGCGCTATGCGATATCTGCGTGCCATCGTCCGGATAGAGCTCCACAGCTGTACGAACAAACAAGAGCTGTGTGTGTTACGCCACGCGAGGAAGAGCCACGAGCTTTCCCAAGAACCTTCCTGTGGTGCGCTGACAAAATAACAAGATAATCTTGGTTTGCTTACGTTAAGCCCTAAAAACAGAGTTACTGCTTATTTGTATAATTTCAACCCAGTGTTGGTCAGCAGGAGCCAATCAGCTACAGACACACATCGCCTCGTTTCTTAGGCTTTGTGGAAAAGTTTGTTATGAAGTAGGCAATTAGTTCATTTTTCCCGATGAAGAGTTAACATTGAAACATGAAAATGGATATATAAAGACCACGTTCTCTACAAATATACAGCTTCAAATAAAGAAAACAAAAAACCACTGTCATACAGCAAGAGGAAAAAAAGAAACTATTACATGTTATGTATATATATATATACTAAACCAAACTGGACTGCAGAAGACTTGTAATGCAGAATTCCCCAACAACCCACTCACAATGTGTCAGTGTACCATAAAATAAAGATTATTTACAGAGCATATACAAATGTCCAAAAAGACCATGTTTGTAATCCAAAAACATGCAGGCAATATACTATTTCCTTTGAAATATCAATTTCTTTCATGTTTATAGATCCGCTAAGGATCTATAATTGTTATCCACTTTGGCTGGATGTGTTGATGGCAGCTAACGGCTTCGGAGACGAGGTGAAATGAGGTTTTGGTGTTGTGAATTATTCTATCTAAGGCACCAGTATCAGAAGCCAATTTAAGAACGATGCAAAGGCACGATTCTAAAAGAACAATCAATCACAGCTATCAGTTTTATCAGACTATTATGGGTAGAATAACAGAGTTAAAACTGAAATAGTGTTACTACGTGATAATCGGTCCACTAAGATTAATAACGTAAGCTTGCTGAAGATGTACCTGGTACCTCGCTTCATAATTAGCATACAAACATCTAACTGACTGCAGGAATATAAAAAATAAGGCGTGTTCTCACATTACATTTGGAGAGAGTGAGTGTTTTCTTTGAGACGCTATGGCACAATTTCAAAATATTTTACTACAATCTTTGCTTGTTGAATTTACGATCGTCTTCAAGCTTGTCTTCTTTAGGTTGAATTTGTTTAACTTTTGAACTGCATTAATAATAATAATAACTTATGGCTATACTGTATGTAAAGTAACAACTTAATTAGAGTAGCAAGTACTTCTACTACACATCAGAAATGGTGCTCATGAAGCCAGAATGGAAAAGAGACGTATGATATTTTGTACACAAACTAAATTATGTCCGATGCCCTCTTGAATGTTCAGATCCCTCTGATAGAGTACGGTGGCCCTGAAGTGCAAAACACAACAGCAAATAGGAACGCACAACGGCAAATGGGAAAACACAACAAAATGAACGTCTTACGGAAAGGGTAGGGCCTTATAGCAGGTAGCAGAGGACGGACGCTTCTGATTGGACGGACTGTCTGTCTTTTAACCCTCTTAATCCAAAGCCTTTCGCCGGCGACAGAAAGTGACATGGAGGATTCAAATGACCGTGACTCCTTAACTATTTGCACAATCGTATTCTGAAAGCTGAGAAATGTATCCGCTCAGTGGCGGGACTGAGAGGCTGTGATGAGGGGGGGAAGTGACGCAGCAGGAGAGCCGCAGCAGAAAGTCGATGGCGATGTTTTACGAGTGTTTCACCATTGTTTTATCAGTGTTTTGTTGTTCAACTATATTCAGGTGTTGTAAATAAAAGGGGGGGGTCCCGGGGACGCTACGGCCGACGCGGCTCGGTGACCGGGGATTCCTTGGCGGGAGGAATTGGATGTGTGGCAGGAGTGCGTGACTGTCTCGCTCAATGCGTGACACTTGAGAGCCTTGTATCATTTCCTGTTAGAAGACAGACAGTCCGTCCGTCCAATCAGAAGGGTCCCTCCTCTGCTATAAGGCCCTACCCTTTCTGTAAGGAGTTAATATCGTTGTGTTTTCCTATTTGCGTTGTGTTTTGCACTTCAGGACCACCGTAGATACAGTAATACTGAGTGTGCATTAATCATAAGGACTATAGTATGTGTAGACTTTGGCAAAGGTTCTGATTGTGAACGTGTGGCAGAGCAGCGAACCAACTTTCCCGAAAAATATTTCTTTTTACCATTTTGATATGAGTGGAAAATAAAGGTGCAGATGTGTTTTCACCAAGCCTATATGTATGTGTGTGTGTGTAAAAACAAAGTGAAACGTAACGCTAGAAGTGCTCCTTGTTTCATGAAGGACGACACACTCCAGCTCAGACTGTCTCCTTCAAGTACACAGAGGACAGAGGGACTCGCATTGTCTTTGCAGCCCTGCTGAATCCGCAGTTCACAGATCTGCTTCAAGAGAGCGCTGTACAGTGTGTGTTTGTTCCGTTTCTTCGTAGCTGGAAATATTAATGAAGATGACAATGATTTTACGCTGCTGTCGCATTAAACCGAGTCGGGTTTCCCGCCTCTCCGGATCTCAATTCTCGTGTTTGTGCTTTCCAATCCCAAACTTTTATAGCAACAGCAATCAAAAAATATCAAGAAAACTGAAACCGAGCGAAAGGTTCTCCCTCCGGTCATATTCTTTGAGACGTCTTAACCCGATGTAGCGCGTTGTGTCCGTATATATTTATGATGGACATTTGTGATTTGAAGAAGGGAAGAGAAACACTGGTGAGCCCTGTTCCCGAGATGTTGCACCAGTTTGAGGCGGCCGGGGAACGGGCGTGCAATGTTAGAAGTGATTCTGAGGAGCGAAGAGGGGACTTAGTGACCATCGCTGGAGCCGGAGGGGTTGTGGATCCAGTCCATGACGATGAGTGACAGGCTGCCGATCATGAAGATGACTCCTACGATAAGGAAGATGGTCGCCTGAGATAAGGGAGACATAGGGAGGGAAAGTTAATGTGGGATGACCCACAGCGGGGGGAGAGGGGGTCCGTTCAAACCCTTACAAGTGGCATTTTGGAAATATGTGGGGAATGTGACGTGATGAGTGTGTTGGTGTGGGTGTCGTCGTTATGCTTACTCCGATCTTCTGCGGGGAGCGGAATGGCACCGACTTCACCAGCCGGATGTAAAAGGCAGCAGGAAGGATGAAGATGAGCATAGTGGCTGCAGAGGAACCTGCAAAGAAAATTGAAATATAAATATTAGATATTGAGGTAATCCTTTGTGATTTTCCTTTTTTTTGTCTACAGAAAAAACACACATATAAATCCCTGACATGAGTATTTCTCAATAAATATTTGTAGACAATGGAGAACGGGTATATTTTGATCCTTTATTTAATGAAAAGGCCTCTGATCTGAAGGTGCTAATAGGGCCCGGAACTCCTTCCTGACTCATTTGTCGTAAATATCACTCATATCTGATGTTTTTCTTGTCTGTAAGCCAAATGCTCCTCCCCACATTGTGTGTGCTGTTGTTTTTGTTTTTGGAAAAACAGCATTTACACAGATCCTGTCAAAGACTCACCAATGAAGCCGAAGATGTCCCTGATGGTGGGGACAAAGATGACCAACAGGTTGTTGAGGGTCAGGATGCCGGCAGCGATCAGCATGTGGCGAATCCAGCTGAACTCTCGCCCGCTGAATAGCAACGTGGTGATGGAGGAGCGGATCTGGAGTAGGGGAGGGGTATAAAGGTAACCAAAAACTCAGCTGAGATCGTAGAAAACTTTAATGGAATGTGTTTGGTTTGCCCAATGACATTAATGATGAAACCATAAAATGCAACATAGGATATCCGCTCAGCACTCAACCAAGCATTGTTACCTTTCTGCGTACAAAGAAACAAAGCATTCGGATCAACAACAGTCTGCACTGGCCACTGACTGAAGTGTGTCAAGTGCTAAGAGGCAAGTGTGTGTGTGTGTGTGTGGAGGGACGGAGAGAATCAGGAGATCTCAGCTAAGACGCCGGGCGCTGCTGAGCCACAGGCAGCTTTGTTCCAAGCCTCCAGTGGGTGAAAGGTCGCGTGTATCAGGTAAAAACCAGCGGCTACGCCGGCTCACAGGCCGCAGGAAAAGCCACGGGATTATCTCTCACAGCGTAATAGTAGCCTGGCATTGCATCAGCCAACAGGGAAAGGGGGGCGGGCTCGCCTGCAGGGGGGAGGTGTGTCTTCACACAAAGCAGCTACTGTCTCCTGCAATTTCCTTTTTTATTTAACATTAAGGCAGAGAAGGTCTAAGGTGTCACGGCTCTGCCGCTTCCTGTGTCTTCAGTGTCCCCTCTCTATTGTCTCTGTGTGTGTGTGTGTGTGTGTGTGTGTGTGTGTGTGTGTGTGTGTGGCGTGGGACTGGTTTCCATCAACCTGCACCAGGGCTCATCTCCAGCTCGTCTGTTTCAAACATGGACCAATTCAAATCAAAATATTACTGGACGTTTGCGCGGCAGCGTCACATCAGCTCGTAGGTTGTAAACATAATTACCACACAAATCAAGGTCAAAATGATGGCAGTCTGACTGTTATATAATAAAGGATGAAGATGGTTTAATTCTGATGTTGGACATTGACTACGGGTGTATTGATATGTGTGTGTGTCTGTGTGTGTGTGTGTGCTTGTGCGTAACCTTTACTGTTTTTATCTGCCTTTCATAACTCAAGCCTCTTACTGACATCGCCGCACGTGGTCGTGTGACTCTGGGCTGACTGAAAGTACCTATTGAATATCGCTCATCTTGTACTAAAACATCGGTTTATTCAGGTCCGCTCAGGCCACCACGTCTCCCGACCTCCCCTTCGAATCCCCAGCTGTCTCCCCAAATAAAAACATTTCTACACCTAACCCTCCGCCTCCGGGTCCGCTCTAGTGCCCCGTCGAAGACCAGACCGTGACATATAGGTCCCTGTGACAACACATTTATTTACAGCTCTGGCTGACACTTGTATGCGGAGGACGTAAATAGAGTTTAGGTGAGAGTAACTTTCTATACGCATGTGCATTCCAGAGCTGCTGCTGGTAGAACACATCACGCTGTCTTTGACCTTTTTAAGTCTGACTTAAGCGCAGGATTTACATCCAGTTATCATGGCGCAGGGGGGGGGAGAAAAAATCACATTAAACCAAATGACCTGTTATGCCTGTGAGAGAGCTTCAGATTGGCTTCTGTGCTTCACTGTTCAGTCACATTAGAAAATGTCTTAAGCCCAAATTACTTTAGCACAGGACACATTGAACATCATCTAACTGCATCCCTCCTCCTGTTCTACAAACATGCCCAATACTCCCACCAGCTGTTGCATAATCAGGCCCGGTTTGGAAAACTATAGCCTGGATGTGGCATTTCTCTCCATGGCCCCAAACTATTCAGCACCCAACTGTTACCAAGCGCAAAGCCTTTGGAGTTCACCGTGTGATATTTGCAGTCTTTTTGCCCCTAATTCTTCACCTGCTAGTTGTAGGCAGCCAGATCCACCCCGCTGCAACTGGGTGAATCTGGTCTTCAGCCAGCGAGCGATAAACTTGCAACTTCATAGCTATCTTGGCTTGTTCTGTCAAAGCCGAGGACAAAAAAAAGACATTTGCGGAAGACGAGGATTATGTTAAATCTGGATTTAGGCTTGAATGGAAGTGTAGAATTGCCGCTGCGAGGGAATGACTCTCCATGCAGTACAGTCCCCTTATAAGGAACATCAGAAACACGGAACGCCACATGGAGAGTTCCTTTAAACAGCCGAGCAACGAGAAAGAAACCACCTAAACACTCTGTAGAGCACTAATGCCTCTGACCTTGTGGAAAAGAAACTCAGTATAGTTTATTAAACCCACCTAGAACGTTCCTAATATGACATTAAAAGATACACTCAATAATCTTTACCAATTGATATGTCCAAAATGTGCAACCTAAAGATGTGTCGTGACCAAGGTTCATAAACTAGCAGATATAACTAATGATTATAACTGATCTGCTAAGCTTTGGAATCATAATTACGGTTTAAGGAAGTCTTGTCACAATCTACAAATGCTTCATAAAGGATGAATTAACAGAAAGAGGGAGCAACATGTCAAAAGAAGCTTTTAACAGTGTCCCTGGAAGGCAAACAACTAGGTTACAATTGTTTGGATTCCGCACAGAAATAATTGCATGTTATTTGAGCATCAAAATGAGTTGTCCAAATGCCAGTCACAAATTCAAGCCAACTGTCGATGTTTAGACTAATGCTAATAATGTAGTTATTTCAAACAAGTTTATCTTGTGTAATCAAAACGTTCATTGCCTATTGCTTCAATCCCTTTTTACTATAAGATTACATAAATATAAGACCAGACATCAAAGGATAAGCACCAATAGAAAAGAAAGTCAGTTAGTCTCTTGCGATGCTTCAGAGAAAAGTGTTCCAGCTACTCAAAGAAAGACCTGGACGGAGACTCAAATGCCACTCCGCGGTGGTGGGACATGCAGGTGAGGGTGCTGCTGTTAATCGGCTCGTTTGTAGCCCTCTCGCATGGTTTCAATCTCCAGCTGGAGCCTGAGAACTGGGGCATGTTTGACTCCACATAAAGCCCTTTCATTATGTACTGGATCCTGGCAAAGCCCTGTGCGATCTGGCCTCTGTTAGCGTCTATCCTTCACGTGACTGCACGCACACACACACACACACACACACACACACACACACACACACCTCAGCACACATACCTCAGAACTTGCACTCTTCCTCACGCACACACCAAATCTCTCTTCTCTAATAGAGACCTTCACCCCCCGGAGCCAGGGACAGACAAAGCCAATGCCAATCTCTGTAGCTGAAGGTACGCAGCATTTCTATCGCAAAATGAAGGTCAGGAGGATTCAAGGCGAGATTCTCAAATGTCAAACAGAAAGTTGGCACAGTGGACACAATAGTAGTTTCTTTTGGATCTTTGGAGCCTCAGTTGCATCCAAGGTGGTCAATCTATCGACTGCGCTACAGCAACGACTCCCTGCTCTGTCTCAAACATACATTCTACAGAACAGGAACAGACATTTCTGCACAGAATCTATATTCACTTCACAATCCGCATTATTTCACACTGTTTCACATTATTTCACTGTCTGTTTTTTGCAAGAAAAAAAAACAAGCAAAAGACATTTTTTAAACCCAGACTTTTGCATGAATTTGTCTTCTTCTGCATTTACCACAGCTGGTTTGCCACATTCATTGTCAGGCTTGTGTTCCTCAGCAAAATGTGTATCTCTCTGTTATCTCGGTACTCCTCCCTCTCACTCCCCCTTCTGCCTTTCAGTTACATTTGAAACGTATTCATGGTGAGCTGAGATTTAGTGGCAGCTGGATTGTGCAAACAGACCTTTCATTGTAACTGCACGATTACTGTTGAACAGACAAATTTAGACATTTCTGAAAATCAGTCACTAAATTGCTCCTCACTGTCTTTGGGGCTCAAATGCACACGCAGATAAGTCGCAATTGTGTCTGTATTTAATTGACGTGCACTCGCAGCCCCTCCCCCCTCCTGTCTCACTGGCTCCGCCTCTATATCCATGAAGAGTGGGGTTTTTTCCACTGTCCACTCGGAGCCGGTAAACTTCCACTGCAGAAACAGAGTGATTTCGACCCCCCCCCGCCAAAAACAGCCCACCCCCCGACATCGAAAAAACATTAGTATCATCCCCGTGTTTGTGGATATGGGGGAGAACGCAAGCATCAGCTACACAGCTACAGTGAGACAGAATGCGCATGCTCGGAGATGAAAGCGAATAATAAGAAATAAGCGAATACAGAGAAGCTCAGATAAATGTGTATATTTATATTCTGTAACTATGTATAAATGTGTGCGGGCGCTGTCTTCAGCCACAACATGCAGTCATTGCTGCATTATTCTCTGTCAGCACAGTCCTGTCACCAAATAGGCTTTGCTGCCTCCTGGTGGCCACTTCCTATGCCTGCAGCCATGTCCGATCGATTGACAAATACGCAGATGTTTGTCCTGTCTTTACCGTACATACATTAACGTGTGTTTGTAAGTGTGTGTGTGTCTGTTTATGGGAGCTAAAACAGAGTGTAAAAACTTCCTCTGGCCAGTGGCCATTTTTGTCCCCCCCCCATGTCATACAAGGGCCAAGCTAAAATTAGCCCGTGCACATATATGGGGCGGGAAACAAGAGGAGTGTGCATACGTGTGTCCGAATGAATGCGATGGGGCGACGAGTCGGTAACCCTTTCACCCCAGCTTGAGAGAAAATGGAGAAAAAGACAAAAAAAGAGAAAAGGGGAGAGAGGCTTTACTGTTGAGTGTGTGTGTCGGAGTAATTGAGAGGCGCGTCTGCTTACGGCCTCAACCTGCGTAGTCTTGCTAAACGTGCCACTGAATGAATGGCCGCTTGGCGTCGGGTGGAACCCGGTGTCCAGATACCTAATTGCTAGGGTGGTGTATGTTTGCGTGCATGCCGACCGTAGAGTGTTTGTGCCTTCTGACGTGAATGAAATGATATCAGCGGCTTCAATTAAAATGCTGAGAGAGATGAAAGAGGACAGCTACACTTTGAGGCATCATTTTCCGCTTAGCCAAACTGCTAACTATAACCCCCTACTCCTAAGAGTAGGGGGTTATAAAAAGAGTCTTAACAAATTGTGTGCGTGTGTGTGTGTGTGTGTGTGTGTGTGTGTGTGTGGGGCTACTCACAGGGAACAACACAATGGGGACAGTCAGAGTGACGGCAGTGAGAACCGCCAGACGCACCAGCAGCAACAAGGTGTCAAACTTATAGACCTTGGTGAAGGTGTGGAGCAACTCTGCCTCCACGTTTTCTGTGTGGGAGGGGAGACGAAGGAAAAAAGTAACACTTGGTGAACAAAAGCGAAAACAGAAGCGATTGGAACAGCCACGTATTGATGGGGGGGGGAATTGAATCAATGTCAAATATCCAGAATCTATCCCTTTCCAACTAAAGCAAGCAGAACAACATCTCTATATGGGTCCAGGTCTCTCCTGCTACTGAGCGACCCCCCCCGACCCAGAGCACAGCTAGGAACAGCAGTGCAAATGATTGAAAAAATGTGAAATGATGACTTCTCTGCTATTTTCATACTTAAGTCGCCCAGTTGGCCTGATATGACCCTTCACACAGGGTTGCGGGGGGGCGGAGAACAACCCTGGTCTAGAGTTACTCTGTGACTTTTGCACAGACTAAGACCAAGGATTTTTTGGGCGCACACTACTGCTGCTTTTGTGTTGGGTTGCTCTTACCATAGAAGGTGAGGTAGCCAAACAGGGCCGACAGCATGTACATGATGAGCATAGTAAGGATGGACAGGTTGGAGACGTTCTGCATCTTTTTCCGGCTGCGACTGTGAAAAAAAAAAAAAAGACATTTAGAGAGATCACATTGCTTCTAAAATGTATTGGGTTGGGACATGCGGTAAAGGTAATCTTGGAAAACAACTTGCAAATTGAGCTTTTTCTTAACTTCCAAAGCAAAGAGTGCTTTTACTCACTCCTTAAGCTCACTGTAGATAGGCAGGACCTCAGGGTGGCAAACAAAGGCGAAGGCCAGGATGGGCACCGTGTACGCCGTCTGGGGGGGAAAAGATGCAGAAAATGCAGAAGGCTGTTGTGTAAAGCACAGAGGACACCTTATTTTAAATGTAAAAAAACATAATCCTTCTGCCTGAATCCCTAAAACTGCAACTGGCATGTGATTACAAATAATGCAGAAGAGTCTGGTAGTCAACTGATTATCCTTCTATTTTTGAAACATTAACTCCACGAGAACATAATCCTACATGTCATATTCCAATCCGGACTCATGACCAAGCTGGCCCGGGTACACACACACGCACACAAATGTCCAAAAACACCCTCACACTAACCCCACCTTTACCAAACATGTCTTGGCTTATTGCTGGTATTCTAGTTTTCAGATGTGCGTGAGTATTCACGTACGCTGTGTCCACATTCTCTTCACTTGACACTTATCCAGACTCAACCCAGTACAGTGCATTAACTTCAATTCAAATGGTAAACTTAACCAAGGGACGAGCCATTACGTAAACTGACACACCCGCTGGGGCTGCATTTCATGACACACACCCTTTTGAACAAATTTGAGATTGACTCTCACAAAGAGCTCACGTGTGCACGGCATGTTTCTGTGACAGCGCCGGCCGTACCTGGGAGTTGAAGACAAAGTATTTGGGCGTGCACATCTCCTCGGCGTCGGCGTGAGGCTCCATGTGGACGCCCGTGGAGGAGTGAGCGTCGTGGCGGGAGAAATCCATGTGCAACGTGCTGTTCAGCGGTGGGGAAAGGTGGTGCGAGGCGTTGGTGCTCAGGTTGGACGAGTGGTGGTGAAGGAAGGGAAGAGGGCAGGGCAGCTGGGTCTTCTTGTAAATCACCTGGACAAGACAGATATGACGTCACCAATGGATTACAGAAAGGAAACGAAAATAGGGTTAGGGTTAGCATTGTGACAGCAGAGTAGATGCTGGCTCTACATTTACAGTCCCAGGTTTCCGGTGTAACACACCGTGGGGTGGCCATATTGGACTGGGTTAAATGGCTGCTTGTTAGCGACCTGCTTCTATTGTGTGGCAAGAACTACATTAACTGAATCTGCAAACACACCAGCGTGTCCTTTAAGATCCACAAAGTCCATGCATCTATTCTTATCACCAAATATGTGAGGACAAATACCTGGTTTGCCTTGATATTAGGTATTCATGACATCTACTTACAAGAATGTCAAAGATATCCACACTAGTGCAGTGTAGAAATATGTTTTGGCAAGTCCCTTATCTTACTAAGTGTAGTCATTGGGTACAAAGGAGATGAATTCCACACAGAGCTCATGTCTTTTTGAAAATCTTTCAGGGAACCGAACTTACCACACCCAGAAAGAAGATCATGCAGGCGAGGGAGAAGCCGCTGGTGTAGCCCAGGTAGCCTGTAGAGCAGAACCCATTGGTGAGGCTACGGCACCCGACACTGATGTACTTTGTGCAACAGTTTGCTATTCTCACTTTGCACATCTGCTCGTCTGTTCTGCTCTAACACTTGTCTCAGATGAGGGTCACGTCCACTTCCAAGTTGGGACCCCCATCCTCAAATAACATCAATCTGATACCAGCGGCATTTGAGATTATACACCCCGGTCACGACCCGTCAGTCTCCTCCCCTGCGGTAGGTGCTACAGAGCACTATAGGGGGACACCCACAAATGCAAATCTAAAGAATGTTCGCTCCAAAATCCTAATTTTTGTGGCCATTTGATCATTAAAACCTCAAACATGTGAAATGCCATTTGAGTCTTTATATTTAACTCCTGTGCCTCTCAACCACGTGAGCTGACTATGGGCTCCTCTATTGCTGCATTACAAGGTGGTTACAGACAGCTGCGGGAACTCTTGGGAAATATGGCTTCAGATTGCAGAAAGTGACCTAGATCCCACCTCTTAGAAATCAGCGGCAGTATTATGAGTATCTGAATCACAGAGCACAATGGCGAAATAGTTGAACAATATTCATTTCAATCGTGCAAAGTGAGTTTTTACCCAGATTTTTGAGCATCGACAAAGGCAGGATGATTCCTATGGACACGATCACCACCAGGTAGTTCCCGTTCATGTACCACTCACTGCAAGAACACACACGGTTAAAAGGAGTTCATATTCGCGACTGTGCACGCTGCACACATTGAAACTCCGAAAGCCGACACACTCACCCAGTGATTTCATCCAAACCCAGAAAGGCTCTGATCACTTGGGGCAGCTCGTACTTCACAATGAAGAGGTAGCTGGATATGGCTGCAGGACATGACAGACGGCATTTAGAATTTGAAGAAGTATTTGAAACAGTACAACCGCATATCTCATGCGGAGATGTACAGGAAAAATTAAATGCCTACCTCCAATATTCTGCATGATAATGGATCCGAACGCTGCGATTTTCCCAGGCCAACCGAATGCTCTCTCTCCCAGCTTCTCATAGATGAGGGAACCTGCCAAAATAGACGAGTTGAATTAGTCGTGGATTACACTTCATTAAACCAAACAAAAGCAGAGACAACAGGAGTAACAGGAAATACAAATCAGGTTTTATTTTGAATTTCTTCCTATATACATTCGCCAAATCGAATAATGCTTCAGATGGCCCAAACTGGGAGGGGCATCAATTGTGAAATAATAGTTTTACCAACATTGTCTGTTTGTTTTTTCAACCATAACATTCATATGACAAGCGCAGGTCAAAGTAATGAAATCCATTGGTTTTTGTACTATTCTCAAGCCCCAGGTTCAACATTTTGGCCGTCACCTTCTGGGCTGGTGACTAGTCCCCCGACTGCGGAACCGCCTCCAGATGGAACCATAATAAACCACTAAAAGAACTAATGCTATGCTGTATTGTCAAAGACTTGAAACTAGAGATTGAGACCGTGAACTCATGTTTACAATGTCCCTTTTCCCTTTTACAGAGCCATAGATTGGGGATCAATCTGAAGCCGACCCAAAGTACCCACCTCCTTCTTTAGCTGTCATAAGAAGCAGATGCACCGAATACAAAGAGAGGATTGCCACACCGACGAGAAGGATTCTGCACAGAGAGGGAAAGTAAATACATGTCTTAAGTGCAAAATTTAAACCCGAACAATCCGTGCATGAAGTCAGCGTAACAGGGTGGAGACATTCTTTGTGCCGGTGGTGTAGGAAAGGTTTGTGTTACCTCTAGTGACACAAGATGGCAGGAGCCTTACTCTTCTCTTTCCTGCTATCACTTTTCAGCAGCAATAGCAACATAGCACAGCATTGACACTAAGCTTCAGCTCATGAGGGGGCCACGCGGCCAGGGCATGGGTAACGGACAGAAGGGGGCTGCTCGGGGGGTGGGTGGACGGGTGTAGGGTGACAGGCGGTGTCGGATGTTGGAGGGCACCCGTGAGTGCTAATAATGCCTGACGGAGGGGAGGCGCAGGAGATTGAGACACAGGGTGCAGGAGTTCAGACGTTTCTATGTGGCAGAGCTGCTCTGTATTCCAGACGCCTTCCCACAGCAAGCTCGCATGCAGCGACACCAAATGGGTCGCTTTGAAGCGACAAAGTGATGTGGGATTAGAGTGTGTTATGAGGAAATTTCACCCTTCAATTTAAACGGCGTTGAACGGCGGGCAAAGAGGGGTTGTGCCTTCATTGCGAATGTTAGAAAGAAGGAATCAACAATGGGGAAGTGTAATTAGCCGGCACGCCAACAAACGAACAGTTGCTTCGATCTGCCGACGGAGTACTCACAAAAAGAGCAAGATGCCGGTGTTTGCCATGGCATAGGACAGGCCCAGGATGCCGCTGCCCATGATGGCGTTGCTCAAGTTGAACACGGACATCCCGAAGGAGGTGTGGCCGGGATGCTGCTCAAGGAGAAAATGAAGAGGGAAGGAAGAGAGAGATTTAAAGTCTGTCTCTGAAAATAGAAATCTCTTGTCTCAAAACAGACTTTTAGTTGTGGCAGATAGAGACATCTTGGCTACGGGAAGCGAACCCCATAAGCCGTTAATGCCAATGGTCAATACCTTGTAACCCACACAGAAAGACACACCCTCACTTAACCCGTCGCCGTTGTTACTCGTTGCGAAGGTGCGAATTGCCTTTGACAGAATTGACAGAATGCCTTTCATGTCCGGTACGCAGTACATGAATCCCAGTTCCAATGTGTTTGTGTGATTGGTTGCAGAGCACATATTTTCATACTAGCTTCCATTTACTTTCGTGGCTGCTTGCACAGTGACTAACAAGCTCCATCACGTGGCAGGTCGGCCTTTATAACAACTACTTACATATTCCTCATGGTACTCCTCATATTTCTTCTTCTTCATCAGCCCATTGGACAGGAACTTCTGACTTTCTCCGTCCTCGTTGTCGTCCATAAACTGACTGCAGGGACCAATAACGAAAAAAAAGGGAAAGAAATGAACACGTGCATACGTAGTAGACCATTCACTTTTGGTTTACCAGCTTTTATGTCACTTTTGATGACACATAATGTAATAATTGTGTAGACTTTGTGTTGTTAGTTTTGATCAGTGGATCTATGTCAGAGCTGGTTATTAAAGCTCTGTGTGTTAATGCTTCATTTACTTTGAGTAAATGATCACGTTGGGTCACCACGCAGACCTTTACTGCAGAAACCGTACTGGTTTCATTGGCTTTCTCTTCCGACCCCTAATGCCAGCCACAAAAGCACTGTCTATGTTACACAATGTTTAAGAATAAATTTCACAGCGAAAAGGACAAGAGAGCCTATGGCAGATGTCGCTGGACATGGCGGTTGCCGACCTGTCAATGGTGCCCTTCTCAGGGTCGATGGGCTCTGTGTAGCGGTCGTCCAGGCTGTCGGTGCTGTCTTCATCGGCCTCCGTGGAGACTTTACTCAGCTCCATTCGATCCACTGCTCCCGGCATACTGGCACGCAACGGCGGCAAGAGGTGGAGAAGAGCGGTTTCCTTTTTAGGGTTCCAACTATTCACAAAGCAGCGATGTGTTCCTTCCTCAACCTCAGATAGACACAAAACAATCAAGACAACAAAAAAAGACAATGGGGAAATGTTAGCAGGCAGTGACTAAGACAGTTTTTTAACGTTTCTTTTCAAATCTCAAACAGTGGCTGCTGGCTCAAGAACAATTGCTGGCACTTATATTCACCACAGCAATGGTAGCGCCTGGCTGATAACGAGCGAGCGGGCCCGTGTATTTTCTAACCGTATTATCCTCAACGGGGCCCCTCGGCCTTGAATAAAAAATGCTTTTCAGTGAATGGGGCCCGCTAGCCTGCAAATCAGTCCCATTTCCTGGAACCGAGGGACAGCGTATTACGTTAGTTTGAAGAGGAAAGCTGCGACGTGATGCAAGCTTGGCGCCTCATGCAGCTTTACCAACACAAGGCAGGGTTGAAGTCCTGCCAGCTTTATCGCTATTTCCATTTTTACACCACCGTGATTTAGGGCATATATTCTGTTTATAATGAGTGTTTGTAAAATACAAGCAGAAAAATAAAAATGTCTTCTCTACAATGCTACTGAAATGTTGACGAACGTAGAGATTGCAGGCGGGAGTTGAGTCAATAAACCTTAAAACCATTTTAAGGATGCAATGAGTTCAAGAGGTAGTCGGACGACAACCCAACAGCACTGCACAGGGAAACACACATTTCCCGTCAATAGCATTCATTTACTCGGACAAAAGACAGTCAACAGAGCCTGTAAGATTTGTTCATGCTACGAACGATCCAAAATGGTTCACAGTACTGTTCTTCACTTACACAAATACTCTTTGATGGGGTAGAGTGACAGAAATGCTACTCAGTAACATGCGACCCAGGAAAAGCACAAACCATAGCAACACAAACACAACCACAGAGATGTCAGGCGAGAAAACCGTCGAACCCAAATTTTCCCTTTTGTTTGTAAGTATTTATGGCAGCAAATGGGTGGTGTCAATCCCTGTGGAATGCCACTCTAAGTTTAAGTGCAAATATCAGGCTCTTAAGAACTAAACCAGTCGGCAGAGTCTCATTGTGTAGAAGTCTTGTAAGTCATGTCATGCAATTAATTATTTAGTGAACAGCGTCGTCTTATCTGTCTTGTTGTCCATTGTCTAACTGTCTGCTGCTATGCACCAATCGCCAAGTCAAATTCCTTGTATTTCTGCCATATTTTGGTAATAAATGTTTGCTGATTCCTGACGATGAGTTTCGAGTATTGTCTTTATTTTTGCTTTACCTAGTTAGAGCTGGGTATGCTTAGCACAGCGTTGTCCGGTCTGGGAGTTGTAACCTTTTCACTGGGGGTTTGCCGTTCATGAAAGTTAATTGTAATGTTTTGGGTGGATAAAAAAAATTGTATTCAGATTTTGGTTCCGCTTGAAGCCAAGATGGCATCAGACAAAACCCACAGTGGTGGTGATGACCAAAATGCTAAACTGAGGCCTACAAAACTATTGTTAGCAAAACAACAGGTGGGGTCACTGTGATTCCACTTACTTGTTATAAACAGTTTATAGGCTAAATGTGTCTCCATCAGATAATCGCTGACTAAGTTTGTTATCTTTCCATCACCATGTGTTTTCAGTCAACACACAACCATGCATCCACAGAGAGCTTTCCATTGTATAACAAGCCGCCATCAATGTTAGAGGGGTTAAAAATGTCCACCTGTCTGATTCAGCTTGTCCCACAGAAGTCGGCATTCAGTCACGATACCTTTGAGCTGACGGTGCCAAACGGCCACATCGCACAGGGCCAGTAAACCTAATCTCTCTCTGTCATTCTCTGATGTGTGGCAAGACAGAAGTGGGCAACGGTTCTCACTTTCCATTGCAAGGAGGACAAACCTGTCCGACTTGGTCAACATCTCACGGGGTTACAATGATAACATTACAAAAGCACACCTTCGGTAGCTTGCCCGCAGAGGCCCTCCAACCCCCGACACCAGATCTGTGGAGCTGAAATGGCCTGCAGGGAACACCTACAAGTAGTGTGCAAATTAAATCTGGAGTGGGCACGTTTACATTGAATTGAATCCCCCCAAAACAAAGGACACATATGTGCCAGACAGCTGTAGAATGAGACTGATTAGGCTATTTGCATACGGGACAAAATCCACGAACATGCTAATGTCACAGCTGGAGAGCAAGCAACCAATAAGCCTGCTGAGATGAGAGATACCTATGCTAATACTGTTTCCAGAAGCAGGCATGTCTGATCACCTCTGAAGGAAGACTGAGCGCTCGAATTTCACTGTGTCCTCGGGTGTCTTTGGAGGCCTCCACATGTGTTCATAGCTGCATTTTAATGCTTTAAAGTGTGTGCAGGGACACACAATTAAGATTCTGGCGGATTTTCACAATTGCACCATATATTTATTCAAGTGGTTCACGGCACAACTGCCTTGAACATGATGCATCTAAAAGTTGTTCTAATAGGCTGTCACTGATTGAAGCAGAAGCAAACAGTACAAAAGTGAGAATACAAAAAACATGCAAACCAAACAAAACCACCAGCAATCCTTCTGCCTGTTGTTAGCAGCTTCAGCAGGAATAATAAGACAGCAGGGAACAACTGGAAGTTTCAACATGTTTAAGTAAGAAGAGCATTCAAATTCCTGTAGTTACTGTGTGGTAGCAGCAAACAGTCAGTAACTGGAAAACTGGAATTTACAGCAAATCAGTGTTTTTTCAAACTTGTGCTTTATTTCAAAATAAAATCTTTTTTTTCTTTGAGAAGAAATATTGGATCACTTCTTCCAACAAAGTTCATAAATCTCACGTCTTCCCTCTGAAAACACTGCAAACACACTTGCACATCAGCCAAACCTGAGAAAAATTCCTTTGAGCATTGCGTACTATGCTAACTTTGGTCTACTTCACTTGGAACAGTCTAAGCGAATGTGTGCAACTCAAACACGCCCTGCTGCAACTACAGACGTCAAGACAATGCTTTACTCCAACAACAATAGCTTGGATAAGATTTATTTCCTTGACAACAAGTGTATTGCTATTTTTGTAATGTTGGTAACCTTATTTACACACAGTATGAATCATACTTGTCAAGCGCAGCGGGTATACTCACTTAATCAAAAGTTCCGTAAAAGAGGTTCCTGGATTGCTTCTTTTATTTTTCAACAGCTGACATGAAGGTGAATGGGTAAGAAGCTGCAGCTTTTAAACAGGTGAGGGAGCAGGCTTTTAAAATGGAGGAGGGAGGGCCTGTCGCGCCCAATGAGAACACAGTTCCCCGGGCCCCACCTCATTCGTGTACCCTCACAACACTTTACAACGTTGTACTTCTATCTTTCTGAGGACACTAACTGACATAACGTATTCCACGACCCATTGACTCGGGTTCGACTTAGATCTACCCTAAACCTCATTAAGCTAGCTACACAAGTACACATGCACACACAAATTTGGTTGTCCGCCTGAACCACAATGAGCAATTCCACTCAGTAATAGATGGAAAAACCCTGTTTAATACCCACATAACTACCCACTTTTATACCGGTGCAAAATCCTACTGGCCAAACTCCCAGACTCAATGAGCGACACGGGCGAGGTCGGAGAGAGCGGCTAGCTGGCCGCAGGTGGACTGATGTCACATACACGCACAATCCACCCGCTTGACACGATGCTTTCGTCACTGCACCGTCACGACAGTACCCCCACAAAAAAAAAAAAAAACACACACAACTATTTGGACACGCAACTGCACGGGCTGGGTAGGCTGTGTCGCCGGCCGACCAATCAGGGGACAGGTCCTGGGATGTCGCCATGCCCAAGGTTATGTTCATGTCAGGGATGAGGTTTTATCTCCACTCTGAAAGTAGCGTTTCTGTTGTAAGTTTTGTGCAATACTGCACTGTTTGAGTCGTCCAAATCCTTGTGTACTTTATTCATTATTAATTCAACATAGAGTATATCACATTGCAATGGAGAAGTGTCCATCACTGCCAAACCGAGTTGCAAGCGATAAATACCTGAAACTCCTGTTTTGGTGAGAATGCACAGCGATTGTTTCTTTTTCCACAAAGCTCAATATTAGTGGGTTTTCTTGTCCAGTGGGAGATGGGGCTTAAGTAAGGGGGTACAACTTGAGTGTACTCAACAGAGAAATAGTATTTTGTCTTGTTGTGAATTCAACTAAGTAGCTGATTATTCATCTTTCCTACCCCCAATCTAGCAATCTAGTAATGTGGCTATTGGTAAAACCAGAAAAAAGGAAGGCATTAGAAAGCTGACACTTTGTATACAGCGATCATCATAGAAAACAGGTAACAGGTAAGTGAATGGCAGAGAAAGTCAGATTCCCACAAAATAACAAACTTGCTACCACGGTCCAAACCGCAGCTGCAGGGACATTCCTTAAATGGCATCACAGTTCTCAAAGTGTGTGTGGGGGGGCCACAAAAATATGCACGCACACACACACACACACACCCTCAGCCAATCACCTATGAATACAACGCTGTCTCTGAGCCAATCCGACAACATACCAAACAGTGACGGGCTTGACTTGGGGGGTTGAGCAGGTCACAAATGTCCTAATGCAGCAGAGCCAGCTTTAGAAGTGACTGAGCTCAGTGTTTGAGGTCAACCATATCATGAAAACAATGGGAGAGGTTAAAACGGTTGGTCTAAGTCTTTTGTTGCTGTGTTGGAAACTGACAACATATCTTTATTGTATTGTGTTTGGGATTGAGACTTGATTTTTGTTCGCGATAAAAAGTAGGGCCATTGAGTTTACCAGACAGATACAAGTTGCTAATGGCCATAAAAATACAAAATAAACATTTATTGGTGTGTATATATATGTGCACACATATAAACGTATCTCCCTTTGATAAGACTATTTCTGAGTCTACAATGTAAATATTGGTTCATTTTATTTTTGTGTAATATATAATGTGGAGTCAATAAAATTAATATGAATAAATAAATTTTTTATTTTAGTTGGACATCTTTTTGAAGATGCCTGAGCTTTATTTTCTATCATTCTTATAAGAAATGAAAGAGAAAATAATTGTTCGTTAGTTGCATTTTTATGATAGGAATATTTTATGAATTATGCAAGAATGATCATGAATGAGTATTTTTTTTCGAGCAGGGATTTGGGCAGTCTGTATGGTTGGTCTTTGACTCTTTGAATTAAAAGGGCTTAGTGTGGTAAATCGGGACATGATGAATTAGGATAAATTAGGTGTTTATGCAGCTGAATAATGCAGGTATGTACGTTGTATGATACGGGTCGCTCCAACAGAGCACATCCTGAAAACTCCCTTATTCACTGAGCAATCTGATCAGTCAATTCCAACTCGACATGTATGAAAGTTCTTTTCGTTTTTTCTGAAGCTTTCCAGTAAGTGTTATTCAAATTTCACACAACCTCCTTGTAATAAGTATTTTTGTTAAATGTATTTGTCTATCCACTCACTGCAGAAGCTAGCCAGGATGATTAAACTTTTTTTCTTAAGTTCACTAGTTGCTCAACATAACTTCAGTGTGGGGAGGAAGTGTCTTTCGCTTTTTTTGACACAGGATTTTTACAAGTGGGGTAACATTATGAGATGAGATAACATTATTTACCCTTTTCCCACTAAAACAGTGCGCAGTTCAGCTGCATTATTTACCTCGGTTTACCCTTTTTAACTCGAGGACATAAGATAAAAATACGGTTCAACATATTGAGTTCTGGACTTTGGCTACATCAACATTAAATGAGTGTGGTCATTTTTTTGAAGGACCATTATGAGGAGTGCTGACGTCAACATAAGGGCCTACAGGGATGTTCCGGGGTTATTAACCTCCACTTGTGTTACCCTAACATCTCTGCCGTGACGCCTTGCACTACAACTTGTACCCTCTGCTTGTTGGAATGATGAATCTGTCCCGACACAAACCTGCATCAGGCCTGTGTCTTTGTTGTGCAGCAGACAGCCCCAACAGCTCTGACAGTATTAAGCTGGAATGAGTTCATTTAAAAAAAGGGTGAGTTCATTTAAAAAAAGGGTGAGTTCATTTAAAAAAAACAACACCAAATTAATCTATCAAAAATGTCACGAAACATTGAAACCAGAGACTTTCACCTGTGATGAAGCTGCTTGGGGTCGTCGTGGCGCAGGGGTTAGAAAAGGTGTGCTGGGAAGCACGAGGTTGGTGGTTCGAGTCCAGGCTGCCTCATGTTCCATGTTGAAGTGTCCCTGAGCAAGACACCTAACCCCTAATTGCTCCCCGGGCAAAAATGTGAAGAAAGCCATGGGATAAAAGCGTCTGCTAAATGACATGTAATGTAATGTAATGTAATGCTTGGAGCTTGTAGCTGGGGAAAAGAGTTTTAGTGATGCATTCTTGACACAACAAGCCTGCTTCTCTAATAGCTAGACACACTCATGTGAAGAACTGAAAAAGATACAGACTTTGAAAAAAATACACACCGTAATTGCCGAAGTGGCTCAAGTTTGGATAAGCAATACCAGCAGAACTAAACTCAGTATTGACTCCCCAACATCATGCTGCTGTGTCCTTGTAGAGGAGGTGGATCATCAGTTAATGGGATGAGTTTCTCAAAATCACAAACCTTCTCTGACCTGAATCTTAAATTCCTGCATTCCTTTCTGCAAGAGGCAAATAATAGCCTTGTATATCTGCTGATATAACAAAAATACTAGCAGTTAAACTGGAATTCAGTTTTGGCAATATTGATTCAACCCCACCCTCATATGGCCAACGGTGGAGTCGCAAAAATACAACCACATTGAACCAGAACTGAGAACCACACATCTGTGCTGAACTACAAGATCCACTCGGTGCTTCCACTTGGGAGGAATCTGTCATCTGTGGCTTGCTGACACAACTCCATTGTCCTTTCTGCAGCTTGTTTACTCATCTCTCCTGTTGGACACATGTGGACCATGTCATAGTTCACTATTAACATCTGGATTCAGAAAATTCCAGTCATTTCTTTTTTTAATTAAGGTTTAAGTTGGAAAACATTTTCATTTGAATCCCGATGTTTTGTTTCACTCTACACGTAATATCCCCATGTATTAGTTTAGCAAATTTGATATAACAAGGAGAGTCTGATATTTCTCATAAAGTACTCTGATGTCGAACCACTTGCTTATGTTTTGCTGCATATTTCTGACTCTCTATCTGAAGACTCTGAGCCCCCACTTGTGCACAAATTGGGAGAAAGCTATTACAAATTCAAACGTTCAATACATGACGTGATATTTGAGTCTGGACCAAAGACTAGAAGAGCCAACGACCCAGCTACGATTTATGGATGTACAAAGGCTGAGCAGAAGAATTCAGACTGCAGTACTCTCTGAGCCGGTAGGACCACCCTCGTGTTGTCTTGTCTCGCACAAACATGTTTTATCTGGCCTGGATCTAGAATGGACATCTTACTGTTCCGAGCATGAGCAACTTTCGTAATGGGCATATCTACAACAATAACCATACATACATGGAAGGTGCAGTGCAGGCCTTTCCAAGACATCCAATGAAGCACAAAACCTATCAAGGCCAATTTTAGTTATTGCAGTGAGGACAACTATAACTATTGGCTTTTTGTAATCTTCAAATCCTTTGGAAAAGTTGTGGAAAGCAGACAAAACAAATCACGGTGGACTGAATCAGGCGTTTCTATGCTGAATCTTGTGAAATAAATCTCACTACGGTCTGAGCCAATGACAAACCAAACAGTCCTCCCGACTTCAATAAACAGCAGGCCCTTGGTAAACACCATACTGGCCCTTTGTACAAGAGCCTGGTGTCCTGACCTTGTTTGTCGACTCGTTCCTGCAGAGTTGTGCTACGTTTGTCTTATCAGTCAGAATTGATCTGCCTGCTCACGATGACGTCAGCATCCTGCTTTGTGACAATATTTTTCAACGCTTCAAAACTTTTCAAACACAAGGTTCTGTAGTGTGGCAGAACAATTTAGGGGAAGATGATGTGTCTGCAATTTCAAAATTGTGGCAGGCCCTATTGTGAGTTAAATACAATTACTTTCAGTGCTGCCCTTAAAGGAGCACTAAAATGTCCCACAGGTCATTTGTTCGCAAAAGCACCTATTTAGATGACCTGAATTTATTTTTGACCAGAGGAAAGTTCTGTCTGTGCCCTATTTTTCCAGCATGTGTCCACCAGCAAAACGCCGCTCTCAGTGTACTTCGAGAGCACACAGACGCTGCTTTTGTCAAAACATTTTGGTTGCCTGGACCGGGAACCTGGGGACAGATCTCTCATTGGAACAGCACAGTCACAGTATCGTTTGCCCCACGCTGAACACTAGCCAACTTAAACAGAACATGACAAACAGGACATTGTACATTTACAGGTTTATAAGTGAAGTACAGATGGGGTAATAGACAGAACTAATGGGACTGCTTATCTAAAGTGTCTACGTCCAATACAAAATATCGTACAAGGTGTCTGCCTGTAAACCTAAAAAAGACACTGGAGGTACACTTTTAACACGTTTTGTGGATCGTTCTGTCAGCTTCTCTCTGGTGGTAATTAGTTCTGAAATGCCACCATGTTTGAAGACGGTAATGACATCACCTCCCACTTCCTGACCCCTCCCCAGGGTACGATTTTATCAATTGACCTCTCGTCACCAATGCCGTTTCAGCGGACTGACACGATAAAAATAAAGACACGCCTCACCGCCAGCGAGCTTGTTCTGCCGATTCGCTCAAGTTAAAATCTAAATAAAAAGTACGATGTTGTGTTGCAACGTCATCAGACTCATGATAATAATAATAATATGATTGTTGAAAAGTTTATAGGATGTTCAGCGACACTGAACCCTCGTAGCTGACTTCTGACTGCCACCTGGAGGTTGATTAAAAAAAGGGAGCAAATAGAGTTTTTGGTAATCCCTGATTGTGTTTTTTGTTTACCGCCGATACTAATTGATGATTGATGATCTATATTGTTGTTTGAATATATCAGCTGGTCTGCAAGGCAAAAGACTAATATTATTTTTTCCACCTTCCCAAAAGAAATGTTTCAATTCCTTTGAATTCAGCATTAAAAACATAATAATATAACAATAAAATTACTACAAATGAAAATGAATTTTTGGGGGATTTCTCAATGGTTATCTTCAGTATATATTTAGGAAATAAAAGATTGTGTATTTGTTATTGGACAAATCTTGTACACAGTAGTTTCAAAGCTCTCTAATATCAATTTGTGTTGCTGTGCAGAAATCTATTTCAAACAACTGGATGATTAAAAGTACAACACTATATTTTATGAGATTACATCATAATAATGTTATAATTTACACTTGCCCGATACTGTTCAAGGAACAGAGCCTGAGGGACACACGATCCGTTAGCCACGTTATCAGTTCTTCTGTCAATTAAACATTTTACGTATTACATTGTAATGTAATTATCAGAGATTGGCAACTAGAAAACGAAATTACAGGAAATGATATTCCAATTACATATTTTATTGCGTATTGGCACATAAGTGTGTAAATACTGAGCGGTTCAGACACACGTGCCAAGCCTTGAAGGGCGTTCGGATTAACAGTGATCTGTTACACTTCTACCTTTGATCAATGCCGTTGTTTCGTGATCGCAATGCACATTCCATGCCATTGACTTATGTAAAAATAGACCGCGTTTCATGCTCAACACTGTGTGCCAACCTCTCAGATTTCAATTGAATGCGTGGAAAGCGTGTTGGCGGCCAGATGCTTTCCTTGCGTGAGTGACATTCACTTCTTTTGAAAACTGACTTGGCATCTGACTCAACTGCTCGTTTGTTCATCCACACTCTAAGTTAGCAAGCACCAGCTTCAAGCTCCGGTCAAGTGTCATTCATGTCCCTCAAAACAGCCACGAGGAGCTGTGATTGGGTGCACACCTGAACTGGCCTTTGCCCTCACCTGCAGCTTTGCAGAGTCACACAGGGGCTCTGTTTTAGAGTGTAACATTAAAAGGCCCTCCATTTATATCCATTAAGTTTGCTTTATTGGTCTCAAGGACTTCTACTCAGCCTGCTGACTACAGATATAATTATCCTGTTTGTTTTGGACGGACCATTCTGGAGTTTCAGAATATAACCCCAACGGTGTCATGGTGATGCCATTGGGGTTACCTTCAGCTCATTTTACATCCAAAGCCACCGCTACAAACTTAAGTGACAGAGTTTGACAGATGTAGCCGTGTTACGGTCAGGGAGGGTCTAATGAAAACCCCCAACCAGGTGCATTATGGGAAATGTAGGATCCGTACCAAGTCAGTATTACTCAGCTTTGGCTTTTTCAACTTTGACCGTTCTCTTGACTTCTGTCTTTATGGAGCTCCATACTAAATAGCCAGAGTGAGCCTTTAAAGTTTAAACTAAACGGATATGGTAAAAATAAATAAGATAATATTACAGATTACTTTTAAAGTTTAATTAACTGCATTAAACCGTATTTACTTCATCCTCTATTTTGGGTGATTGCAGTCCATCCATTTCATTAGATAGTTTATTCTGTTATTTCATTTTTTTTCCAGCCCTAATGACACTTTTCTTTGAGGGACCCTTTTCCGTACATGTGCATGCATGCAGCCTTTACTACATCGGTTCCTCGAGCCTTTACGGAGGCAGTGAAGCACCGGGTTATTAGTACAACTGGACATCATTTAAAAAACACATTACTCAATCAGTCGTTACTGATGTGTAAAGAAGGACCCAATCGAGCAGAGCGGATGCAAAATTGCATGAGCACAGAACAACAGGGCTTCGCGGAGACATTCTACTGTAAACACGCCGGGACCAGATCACAACACAGCGGCAGAAAAGACGCGGTGCGCCTTTGTGTGCTTTCTGTCAGCAAGAAAGGCGCACACCACAACAGCGCGAAAAGCGAGAGTGTCCGATCCAGATGTGCGCCCTATTTCACCAGTTACCCGGTCGGGTACGCGAGCTTCGGACATTGAAATAGACACCGTGCAACCGAAATAACTGCGCGAAATGTCGCGCGGCGACTATCGCTGCTTCGACGACTTCAGGCAACACCGCGGAGGAAGAGCTCCACGCGGCGCTGCTGCCTCTGCAAACACGCGGTAGTTCAGTGGGGGTTTAATGCACAAATGAGAAGCAAAGAGACGAACAAAAACTCCAACCCCCCCAGAATCCGACATGTTTTTAGTTGTCTTATCCTGTCAGAACTCAGTGAGCAGCCAGAAGAACATGGTTGTGTTTAAAGGGTACCATCAGATCGCAGGGTTGGGGTGTAAAGAAGTAATACAAAGTAAAGGATTTTAGCGGTGTCAGTTCTGGGGAGGAGGAGAAGGAGGTAGAGGGGGGGGGCTCACCTAGTGTTTCGGTGCGGCGGACAGCTGTGGCGGGCGGAGAAGAGGACTAGTGGAGACGAGAGTTGGAGACCCTTCCCATTTAACAAGCGAAGAGACGGAGTGGAAATTTCCATCTGCTATGTGGTGATGGCAACTCTGAAGCGTCGTGTTACACCGCCGAAGACTGACGGGGGGGCGGTGGGGGAGGCGGGAGGAGGGGGACGGGAGAAGGGGGGTTCTTATTCTACTTTTCCTCCCTCCACAGGTATTGCGTTCACTTGGTAGTGTGAGGGTCGGGGAAAACATCTGATGGACTTCATAAGAAAAAGAAAAAAGAATACGATTGAAAAGAATAAAAAGCGAGAGGTTTTAACGAGCCCGTCTATTGACTGGGCATCCGTTGTTTACATCCCGCCCGGCCACGTTGTGCGGCGCGCACTCGCAACTCTTGAGCTCCATCGTGATGCTAATAGGAAAGGAAAGGGTTGGGAAAAACACTGAAAGGATGCAAGAGGTGGGATTTGTTCTATGCACTGTTTTTGTCATGGACGACAGCTTTGTTGTCGATTTAATCGATTTCATTTGTTAAAACAAGTACTTTTTTTTATTAATGATAAAACAAGATAATCCTAATTATTTGCAGGATCACTAACCATTTAGTGGATGTTGGAACAAACAAGATATATGAGTAGAAAAACGAGACCAAAACATGATAAATAAATAGTCGGTATAATGGATAAGGTTTGCTAATATGGCACAGTGGATTGCACAAATAGATATAATTCACTAGAGGAAAAAAAGTGTCATAACAACCCTGTAATGTTACTTGTATCGTAATTGTGTCTGATATTAAATCTTATAATATATTTTGACCATTAATTCGAACAATATGGTTGGTAAGGCATTTTAGCACTAGAGTAGCTTACTATTCAAATATTTTACTTGAGTAAAATTAGAAATATTTATTCACGCATACATCCTTCGTTAAAATAAAGAATGTACCATGGGCATCAAAATATAGTTATAGTACCAAAAGGACTCATTATACTTTTTTAATTGTAGTTTAATTAGATGAATGGTTTAAAATGATTGATATGTCAATGCGTTCATCTACTACTAAAGTCCTGTCAGATATATAGTAACACATGCATTTTCAATATATTTTGTGTTATTAATCTGAAAGGTTATTTGATAAATGTAGTGGAGTAGAAGAATATATCGTCCTGAAAGTCAAAAAGATAAATGTATAATGCAGATAAACTATGGTAAATGTTAAACTTAAACATTTTACCACTTTGAACTGATTGCTCACATACATTCAGTTGGCAGCATCTTAAATGCGAGTATTCTGCTTTTGTTTCTTACATTTCTAACATTCTACAGACTAAACATTTAATAAATAAAATAATCCACAGCCACTTTAGATAAGTCTGAAGATAATATGATGAATAATGGATATCACCTGTAAGAAAAACAACACATGTTATATGCAATTTTTTAAAAGTAGATCTTACAAAATAAGGTATTAAACAAATGGTACAAGTCATCTCAGTCTGTTCAGATCTTCAATTGAAAGTGAAAACAGAAAATAAAATGAAAATCCTTTTCTCTAGATCCTTTTGACCAGAGGTGCCCACACTTTTTCGGCTCATGAGCTACTTTCCAATCGACCAAGTCGTGGCAAACTACCTCTCCCAGCATGCACTGGGCAAGAGCTACTCGCTTCAGAAGATACCAGTCTACAACAAAGAATGTAGAGTGCTGGAGGACTGCGTCTAATAACCCCAAAAGAAGTCTGCGCTTATGTCATTTCTCAATCACTTGTCTCAAAGCCATTGAGTGTTTGGTTAGGTGTGTGAAATAAAGTCTATGTTGGACGCAAGCTCTATATTATAATGATGTTCTGCAACATGAATTACATCAGTAAATACGCCTCTGGGGAATTTTAAACAAACAGTTTAAAAGAACGTCATTAAAATCATAAAAGTGTAATTTTGTGAAGATGATCTTGCTGAACAAAAGGTTGCATTATCATAAGTCTATGTGTTATATATTCATTGGACCCTCCGCATGATATGGAATAGAAACCCTTGCCGCATAACAAAGTCAACAAAAGGGGAGTAAATACTGTACAGAACCCAGAGCAGGTTACAGCTCTGCAGCAGCTGAAGGATGCAAAATACAAATAGCCTTTAAATACACATGGATTGGATCAGATGATGTCGTAGCCTTATGTGTGCGACTGTCAGAATCAATGACACAGCGCTGAGTCACAAGACAATGCCTGCAGGAAGACTGCTTATAGGGAAACCTGCATCATTTTGAAAAGGTGTGACTATTTAAAGAGACCCTTTTTCCCTTTTACTTTTTGTATATTGATTTCCGATGTGATGCCTGAAGCAGTGGACACACTTGAAATTAACTTGTATTTGTATTAATGAACTGCTTAACGGAGGGGGACGGATCTCCTACATAACATGATCAGATATAGGAACACTTTTCATCTGCATTTGAATAATCCGCCTTCCAAAAAGTTAATAGGATTTAAATGGGATAAAGTTATCTAACATTTGGTGTCAGAATGTTTATCTAAGCTGGCCACACACATGTGAGTTGCTAACCAGGTGTGTTTTAGCAGCAGCTGGAGACTCGGGGGGAACTGTTCTCATGCTGAGCCAAACCACAAGATAACAATAATAACAATGAAGCGTCTATGTTCTGGCTCACACACATGCAGTAGGGAGGGAGCCGGCTGTGTACTGTATGGCACACGCTCTCCCACACACACACACACACACACACACAGCTGGTGTCTGTGTTTTGCAACCACGGCGATACACAAGAGTCTACGGTTCAGCTCGACCAAATGGGAAAGAACGGATGTCAAACGGTCTTCAGATCAGTTTGATTCACTAAACATGTAATGTGATCATTCTGAAGATCAATCTAAAAATGACGTTTCCTGATGATCGGGACCGAATACAGATACTGATGTCAGATGTGAGAGGGGCTGTCAGTGTGCCGCTTCTTTGGGTCTATGTTTCATGAGTTGTCTCATGTTCCAAATTACAAGACAGAAACTCATTAAAGAATCTCACATGAGAAGCCTTCAGCTGATAATCATGAAATACCCCCAACACTGTTAAATATCTGCATTAGTTTCAGGCAAGAAAGATTTAAGTATTTAAAATTCACCAAAAAGGAGGCTCTATTGCTAAAAACTACCTGATGCTGGCGATGCTACTTTCCCTTCATCAGCAGACTGAAGTGGTTCCCGACCATTTGCGAATAGAAAATATTGAAGTGAAAGAGTGGACTTGAAGTTTGCCCATAAATACTTGATTGATGATCTCACAATGGCAGACTTATATTTGGCGCAGATACGCGTATGTGGAAATACAGGACATTTTGAATGTATGGTTCCTTAAAAGCTCTCCTAGTCAGTTTTTTCCTAATTAATAATTCAATGTGTAAGCTCAACAACTTACTCGCATTGAACCAAAATAACGTTTTTGCCTATTTTTAATCAAAGTTTTATGATGACAATTTACTAGATCATTCTTGTGGCTTATTAACCTAATTTCAAAAAGCTGCTCCAATACACATGATTGTACACAAACAGAGTAAAAGGCTGATTATCATCAGCAATCATTTGGCATAGTCCATGTTATAGTATAATCATATAGTTCAGAACCTGGAACTGAGACGACCATAGTAGAATGGGGCCATTCTGAAGTTTCCATTTCCATTCGTTCTTTACTCGGGGAAGTAACCGGGGAAGTCCTCACATGCATGAACGTGAGCTTCTTTAATTAACCTCAATATAGATAATTCAATGAGTAAACACCAATTAGCTCTATAGTGAGATTACATTTGACCTGCAGGATGAAAAAAGATACGGGGCAGCGTCCAGGGATGTTGATTGTCCACTTTCTGCATGGCTTTGCCCTGTCCAGCGGCTAACAGTGTAGCCCCAGTTGGTTGAGAGTTAAATTTGATAAACAAATCCAACTAAACCTCCGGCTGCCGCCCTGCTGAGCCTTGGTCAACCTCACCAATTTCTGACACACCGAGCTTGCATGAACTTCCCATTGGGCAAACCCATTGGGCAAACCCGTCGAACAAAAGTTTTTGTTATGCAACCAGTTCAGAAACAAAAGCACTGCGCAAATGTCTTCCCTTGTTTGAGTTATTACTGGGAGAAATGTACTGTGCTGAGAACCTCTCACAGTGCTTTGCTCACGATTACAGAGAAATGTGTCGTGCGATGACCGACTGTTTACCGGATAATAAACACATCTGTGTTGTTGCTGTGGTTAAGAATCTGTAGGACAAAAAGGCACAGGAGGGTGAATGCTCAGATCTGTGTGTTTTTGTTCAATTTCAACATCTGCCTGGTTGATTCAGAGTAAAAAGAAGCTTTCATCTGTCGGGGAGAGAGAGAGAGAGCACTGGCCTCGACAAAGACCCTTCACCTCTTACAAGTGAATGTTTATCCAGATGTCTGTTATTTTACTATGAGAACTAGGACTGGAAATCCGTGTCTGACCGAAAAAAAACCCAGTACCAATTAGTGGCAAACGTCTCCAGTCAAACAATACCTGCAATTTATAATTCCCCCCCCCGGATCCCATAGACAGCATTAGAGTGGCCCAGAAATTGCCGACTTCTGTGACCGGACCGTCGCCATCTCTGTCAGCGGCGGCAACCTGGTCAACCACTTTGTGGTGTACTGAGAGATGTTAACTGATCATAAATCAAGTGAGAAGTAGACTCATTTGTATCATTTCATTTAGATTAATTTCCAAATACAGAATTGCAAGCTACACTAAACTTTCTTTCTCCTTCTTTGTCACATCCCTTGCAATTTAATCCAACCACCTAAGTAGATTCAAAACTAATAATTGGCATTTTGAGGGAAATGCAATGCCACCTAATTGACTTGTTGTATCAGTATCAGGAAGCTTTTTCAATCAATGTATCTGCAGTCCGAAAACGTTAGTACAGCGTTTAGCCAGAATGTTCCCTGACAGCACATTAGTCACAGCACGTGAAGCCAGGTAAGGACTGTGGGCTTGAAGAAAAACAGTTCACCCTAACCTGCACAACAGGGTCATTTTCTTGTCTGAACCTCAATACACTCTCCGGCTCAGACGTTCCTCCAAGC